GGCCGCGAAGATGGTGTTGATGAGAGTTGATTTACCGAGACCGGTTTGACCTGTAACATTGGAATTTGTGAAAAAACCATTTGAATGTTTTAAGAATAAAGTCTTAAATCTAACTGGTCAAGCGCACCAACAACAATGATGTTAAACTGGAATCCACGTTTCAGTAACTTTTTCTCAATCTGTCGAGTAATGGAGTCGAACCCTACATAACCATTGAGGTTTATCTACAGTGAAGAATGTTGAATTAACGGTTAAAGTATGTAGTTTGTGGAACGAAAAGAACATGATGTACTTTTCGAACTTGAAGTATTTGAACACAAGATTAAATTAAACCTTTTGAATTTCGGCAGCGGTTGCCATTTTCTTTAGAGCGTGTTAAAATGTATGTTTCGACTGGTCGAAAATCAAAGAAAAATTTTTTGTTCTTGCAATAGTAGAAGGAACGTATGGGGTGAGTTTCGCTTGAAGAGATGGTGACAGGAATTATTAAATTGTTACTTTTTTAGTGGTGACCAATTGCCGGATACGATTGGTCGCTTGATAGTAAGACGAAAATAATTGCATTGCCGTGCATGGTTACATTGTTCTGACCATCAATAAATAAAAAAAATCAAATAAAAAAATAAATTCGTAAAAAAAAAAAAATTTAATATGTTGGTGACTGTGAGATTCGAACTCACGCCTCTTTCGAGACCGCAACTTGAGTGCGGCGCCTTAGACCAACTCGGCCAAATCACCGGATTATGTTATCTGCAGTGATAATAAATTGTCAAATTAAAAATTGACGACAAAAGGATAAAAATAAAGTATTGGGTGGGTGTGTATACTGTGCTATATGTTTTTTATTTATTTAAAAAATACATCATTCATATATAAAATATTTCCAATTAATAAAAAAGGTTTATTTATTTGATAGACTGGATTTTATTTTATTTTTTTTAATAAAAAAAAGATTATCATAGGTAAAAGTAAAAAATTTTTTTATGAAAGTAAAGAATTTATCTTTTTTGTATAAATTATGTGATTAAAATTACTTTTTTTTATTACGTAGTCAAGGCAAATGGATTTTTTTATTTTAAATATGTTTAATAGTATTTTAAGCGTTCGAATGCCAAAAGATTTGGTTTGTAACTCGTGTACTTTATGTCACATTTTTTTTTTTCGTAAAAAAAAAAAAAAAAAAAAAAAAAAAAAGAAACTTGTCAAAAGTAGATGTTCAAAAATACACTTGGTAAAATATGCAACTTATGTTGGTAACTTTAATCTAATTTCATTATTTTAATCCCAACCTGTTCCAGGATTCTCTTTTTTATCATCCTCAGTTTCAACAACCTTCGGAGTCTCATTCCAACCTGCATCATTTTCAGTCGTAGTACCCCATCCTCCTGTCCCGGATGTCTCATCAGCCCAATTCGAATTCGAAGATTCAAATGGACTTTCAAAAGCAGAAACTTCTGGAACGGTGGTACTAGCCTCGGGTCCACCCCAACTTCCCGGTTCCTCTGCACTGGGTGTATCCCAATTAGATGTTGCGGCATGAGCAGTGGCCACAGCGGCAATACTAGGATTAATACCACCGGGCGCTGCGGTACCTGACGCATCCCATTCGCTTGGATTATCTTGAGTATCCCAATTGTTATTGCCATCAAACTGAAATGAGGCTTGAGTCTTCTCAGGTGCGGCACTAGTTGTTTCGGCCTCTTTTTCAACCTCTTCGGGATCGCGGTAGAAGAACATATCAACCATCACATCCCACGGGGTATCGCGTCTAATATTACCGCGAAGACGAAGTACTTCACGAGCTAGCATCCAATAAATAAGACCGATCGAATGCTTGGCCTTGTTGTTAGTGGGAATTGCAACATCAACGAAACTAAGAGGTGAATCCGTATCAGCTAACGCAATGACAGGAATATTAACGTAAGAAGCCTCCTTAATGGCTTGATGATCGGTTCTTGGATCAGTCACTATGATTAAACGGGGTTCCTTGAATGACCTGGTGATGTAATTCGTAAAAGTTCCAGGAGTAAATCGACCGGCGATGGGTCGAGCGCCTGTGAAAGACGCATATTTCAGAACAGCACGTTGACCGTAGGGACGAGCCGAGATAATCACAACGTCAGCAGGGTTTTCAATTGCAGTAATGATACGGGCAGCGAAAATCAATTTTTCCCATGTTTTGCCAATGTTGATGATTTGAACACCTGATTTGACAGGACGAATCAATGAATTTACCATATGTCCAAATGTTTATTACCAAAAAAGAATAAAAAAGATATTTTAACGTTTGTCACATCAATTAAATATTCTTTTCGACGTCAACAAATAATACCAGAGCCGTCGAGTGCTTTCACCTAGATCCAACTTACCGTCCGCACGGCGTCTCCAGACATAAGGTGTCATTTGAACATTCAGGTTTTTGGCTCCGATATGGCACTGAGCCGATAGGAGAAGTTTAATGTCTTTGTCTGTGGCTATTTATTTCGCAAATCATAATTCAAAAATATATCCATCATAAGGGCAAGGTATTATTTATAAGTTTTCAAATTCGAAAATAATAAGGACTAGATTTAATACCATTTAGGATAGCTGGAAACTTTGACATAGCTATCAATTTACAAGGGAAAGTTTTCGCCGATTCCAAGAGAAGGAACGTTTGATTATTAACAAATCAGATTTATAGATTTTTTTTTTTTTTTTTTTTTTTGCGGAAAAATTTTTTCTACTCGAAATTATCACGTGCACCATAATGCCAGCCAGGTGCCATTGACAATTAGTGCAGGCCAAAACGACGGGAAGAAAATCTCCACACACACCCATCCGTTATATTATCTATAGATCGCAGATTATAGATCGAATGTCAAATTTTTTTTTGACTCACTTTTTATCAGAAAAAAGCGTAAAAAATATACAAAATGGTGTTTTCTTCTGTCCACGAAGTTGACCCTTGGGTACATTATAAAATTCTTGCTTTATTAATGTTTACAGATGTTACATTTCTATATATTTGTTTTAACGTTAGTTTTCGTATTTCGTGTTTACGCGAGATGACAGAATAGTTGCCTGAACACTCCTTTGCAAGAAGAGGATAAAGAAATCTATGATATAATTCAAAAGGAAAAGTACAGACAGTTTTCCGGTTTAGAACTCATCGCCTCGGAGGTATTAATATTACGCAGCACTGTTTTTTCGTGAGGTATGCAGGATCGCTCGTGATCTATAATTAAAATATCTTTTTTTTTGTGTGAAATTTAGAATTTTACTTCTCTCGCGGTGATGGAGGCGAACGGGTCGCCACTAACAAATAAATATTCTGAAGGTCTCCCGGGCGCCCGTTATTATGGAGGCAATGAATATATCGATCAAGTCGAAAATCTATGTCGTCAGAGGGCTTTACATGCGTTTCATCTGAATCCCGAAGAATGGGGAGTCAATGTTCAATCCTACTCCGGAAGTACGGCTAATTTCTCTGCGTTAACGGCTTTAATTAACCCTCATGATCGTTTGATGGGGTTGGATTTACCATCGGGCGGGCACCTAACACATGGATGGCAAACTTCAAAGAAAAAAATATCGACTTCTTCGATATACTTTGAATCCATGCCATATCAAGTTAGCAAGGAGACAGGAATTGTTGATTATGATCAGCTCGAAAAAAATGCCAGCATTTTTCGCCCTAAATTAATCATTTGCG